TCAAGGACGAGATATAGAGTCTGTCTGAGATTTGGGATAAGATAAGATAAGAGATAAGACGGGCCCAAGGATGAGAGACGTGTGAGTCGGAGAGCAAGAAGTCAACTCTTTGGGGATGGGGGATTGGGGCACGTGGGGATGCGAGGCGGGGGATGTGGGGACGTGGATGCGAGGGCATTGGGGCGCGTGGATGCGAGGGGATTGGGGCACGTGGGGATGCGAGGGCATTGGGGCACGTGGGGATGCGAGGGCAGCGGGGCACGTGGGCGAGGGGATTGGGGCACGTGGGGATGTGGGGCAATGGGGCACGTGGGATGCGAGGGCAGCGGGGCACGTGGGGATGCGAGGGCGCGGGGCACGTGGGGATGCGAGGGGCAGCGGGGCACGTGGGGATGCGGGGCCACGTGGGTGCGAGGGCAGCGGGCACGTGGGGATGCGAGGGCACGGGGCACGTGGGGATGCGAGGGCAGCGGGGCACGTGGGGATGCGAGGGCAGCGGGGCACGTGGGATGCGAGGGCACGTGGGAGATGCGAGGGGATTGGGGCACGTGGGGATGCGAGGGGCAGCGGGCACGTGGGGATGCGAGGGGAGTGGGGCACGTGGGGATGCGAGGGCATGGGGCACGTGGGGATGCGAGGGCAGCGGGGCACGTGGGATGCGAGGCAGGGGCACGTGGGGATGGCGAGGTCCACGTGGGATGCGAGGGCAGTGGGCACGTGGGTCCCCCCCCCCCTCCCTCCTCTGCGTCACGGCGAAACCCCTTGTTCGGAGGAAGTCGAGAATTATTTCCGTAATTCGCTTGTAATTTCGTCGGCGTTGTCACTCACGCGCGTTTACTTCGCTCCGCTTGGCGGTTGGCGCGGGGCGAGGGGGGCGGGTGACGTCAGCTGCGTCTGGGAGAGGCGGGTCAATGTTGCTCTGCAGTACAGCTTGCAGGATGTGTATGATAAGGCGAGACGGTCTCATCTTCTGCTCTTTCATCTTCTTGTTTTTTTTTTTTTTTTTTTCACGCTTTTGATCTTTCGGTTTCGTTTTGATTGTGTGTTTTTTTGTTTTTTTGTTTTGTTTTGGTTTGGTAAGTCCCGGTTTGATTCTTTCTCTCTTGCTCTTAATCTCTCTCTGTTAATCTTTCTCTCTCTTTAATCTCTCTCTCTCTCTCTCTCTGTCTCTCTCTGTCTCTCTCTCTCTCTCCTCTCTCTCTCTCTCTCTCTCTCTCTCTCTCTCTCTCTCTCTCTCTCTCTCTCTCTCTCTCTCTCTCTCTCTCTCTCTCTCTCTCTCTCCCTCTCTCCACACCCTCCTCCCTTCTCCTCCCCTCTTTTTCCCTCCCTCTCCTCTCATCTCTTTCCCTCCCTCTCCTCTCCCCCTCCCCTCTCTCTCTTCTCCTCTCACCCTTCCTCTTTCACTCACGTTTTTTCCCCCCACATTTTCTTTGCGCCAAGAGAAGTGCTCGGCTTTCATTCCGTGTCTCGCTCTGTGTCCGCCGCAGCCCTCCGGCGTAGGTTAAACATTTAATTTACTATCACGCTAACTTACGTGGGACCGTGAGGAGGAGAAGAGAGGAAGGGAGGGGAGGGGAGGAGGGGAGAAGGTAAGGGAGGGGGAGGGGAAGGAAGGGGAAGGGATGGTAAGGTTGGGGGGAGGAGGAAGGGTAAGATGGGGAGGGAGGGGAAGAGAAGGTAAGGTGGGGGAGGAGGGGAGAAGGTAAGGGGAGGGGAAGGGATGGGAAGGTGGGGGGAGGGAGGAAGAAGAGAGGAAGGAGGAGGGAGGGTAAGGAAGAAGGTAAGGGGAGGGAGGGAGGGGAAGGGATGGTAAAGTGGGGGTAGGGAGGGGAAGAGAGGAAGGAGGGAAGGAGGGAGGGGAGAAGGTAAGGGAGGGGAGGGAGGGGAAAGGGAAGGGTAAGGTGGGTTGAGGGGAAGAGAGGAAGGAGGAGGGAGGGGTGGGCAGGCGAGGTGGGGAGAGAGGGGATAGCAGAGGTGAGGGGAGACAGGGAGAGGCACGGCTAGTCAAGGTGAGGGGAGGAGGGGTGGGGAGGGGGGAAGAGGGGGAGGTAGGGAGGTGAGGGGAGAAGGGAGGGGGGGAGGTTGCGGAATTGATGGGAGGAAGGAGGGGGGACGCGAGACTGTTATTGTAAATGAGCTTCATTTGGAGAGAGACTGGGAGGAACGGGCAATACTTAGCAGGAAGAGAGGTTGGGAGAGGGAAGCGGGGAGGGGGGAGGAGAGGAGAGGAGAGGAGAGGAGAGGAGAAGAGAGAGAGAGCAGAGAGGAAGAAAAGGAAGTGTTTTTTCTTTTGCTTGCTTTCTTTTGGTGGTTCGTTTCCGTTTTAGTCTTCCTCTCTATTGCTTCTTGTTCTTTCTTTCTATTTTCCTGACGCTCTTAGCAATCTCCTCTTCTCTCTGTCTCTCTCACTCTTCCTCTCTTCCTCTCCTATCTTCACCCTCCCTCTCTTCCTCTCCCTATCCTCCCCTCTCTTTCCATCTCTCTCTCTCTCTCTCTCTCTCTCTTCTCTCTCTCTCTCTCTCTCTCTCTCTCTCTCTCTCTCTCTCTCTCTCTCTCTCTCTCTCTCTCTCTCTCTCTCTTCCTCTCTCTCTCTCTCCTCTCCTCCTCCTCCTCCTCCTCCTCCCCTCCTCCTCCTCCTCCTCCTCCCTCCTCCTCCTCTCCTCTAGATCCTTCTCCAGATCCCTCTCCCTGTCTCTCTCCTTTCCATTTTACTCATCCCTCCCTATCCTTTTTTTCCTCTACACATCGTCTCTCTCCTTCCTTCTCACTCTCCCCCTCCTTCTTCCCTCTCCCTGTTTCACTCCCACGCATTCCTTCCCTCCCTCCCTCCCCCAGACACGTCCAGAACACGTCTACCTTTCCCCTCAAGCACAGGTTCCTCGCGTCCCGATCTCGAGGGGGACCTTGACAGACGACCACGCACTCCACTGACTCATCACGAGGGTTGGCGAAGGCTGAGTGACGCTCGGAGTGGGCTAAGGTGGAGGTAGACCTTTAGTGGGAGGAGGAGGAGGAGGAGAGGTGGGGGGGAAGGGGAGGGGGGGGGGAAAGGAAGGGGAGGAAGGTGGGAGTGGGGGAAGAGGGGGAAGAGGAGGAAGAGGAGGAGGAGGAGAGGAGGAGGAGGAGGAGGAGGGAGGAGGAAGAGGAAGGAGGAAGAGGAGGAAGAGGAGAGGAGGAGGAGGAGGAGGAGGAGGAGGAGAGGAGGAAGAAGGAAGAAGAAGAAGAAAGAGGGAGGAAAGGAATGGGGAGGAAAAAGGAGGAAGAAGAAGAAGGAGGAGGAAGGGTAGGAGGAGAAGAGAAGGAGGAAGAGGAGAGGAGAAGGAGGAGGGGCTGAGGGGGAGGGAGTGGATGTCGAGGTCTAGGGTTGGGAGGGGGGAGGGAGAGAGTGCCAGAGGGGGAGGGGAGAATGGGGGTGGAGAGAGGGTGGCGCGGGGAGGTTGAGATCTCTTGTGTTTTGACGTTGTTCATGACGTAAATGGGGCTGTGCATGACGGGGCGTGGTGGGTGTGTTGGCGTGCGTGGGGTGGGGTGGCCGGGGTGGTGGGGGGTGGGGGTGGTGGGATGGTGGGGGTGGTTGGGCGTGGGGTTGGTGTTGGTTGGGGGTGGGGGTTGGGGTGGGGTGGGCGTGGGTGTTGGCGTGGGTGTTGGGGGTGGGGGTTGGGGGGGGGTGGGCGTGAGGTGGGGGGCATGGGGGTTGGTTGGGGTTGGGGGTGGGCGTGGGTGTTGGCAGGAGGGCGTGGGCGTTGGGGGGTTGGGGGTGGGGGAGAAGGGGGAGGGAAGGGCAAAGAGGCTTTACTAACCGTTTTTTGCGCTGCCGTTATGAGTCGTTTCCCGGAGTGCGTGTGAGTCGTCCCCGTCGCCTCGAAGTTCCAGTTAACGACAGGGACACATGGCAGACTCTTCAGACTCTTCGAAAGCGTCTAAGAAACAAACAAGAATCAATAAAAAAACAACAACAACACAGGGTCCGCCCGCCCGCCCTCCTTGAGCGGCCGGTGAAGTAATGGGCAATTTAGAGGTAATCATAAACTGTTTTATGGTGTTCTTGTTTGGCGCGAGTTCTGCTGTCGACGTTTAGTACTGGAACTCCCAGATTGTTCAGAGGGAAATTTTCATCGGAGCGTCTAATGCAGGCTAATGGCGTGTATTAAATCTGCTTTCGAGAGTTTATTGAGCAACTTTTCCCCTCGTGTCTTTGTTTGCAGTTGGGTGTGTTTGTCTGTCTGTCTGTTTGTTTAATCGTCTTTATAATGCGTTTTGTGTCTTTTTCGTTTGTTTAATCGTCTTTATAATAGTTTTTTTTTCGTCTGGACACGTCTTTGTATGTTTGGGTACGTGTGGTGATTTGCAAACTTGCAGGGCCTTTTGTGAGTAGTGTGTAGTCTTACTCGCAGGTCGTGTGCCTTTTTATGTTGTTATTAATGTGTTGGTTTATGTGTGTTTTATCGCCGTCGTGTTCACTTTTCCCGTTTCTGTACAGTATTTATATTTTCTATGCCGTTTTTTGTTTTTTTGGAAATTGATTATGTATTAATATATTTAATGGTTTGGTGGTTGATGAGTATGTATGGATATATTTAATGGTTTGTTGGTTAATTTATATTTTTTCTCCTTTTCAGGTACGTGGGCGTCGACAACATGGAGGCAGCCTCGACAGCAGTAAAATCGTGTATGTAAAGTCCCGCTCGACATGTAAACAAAACCCGAACGAGATGTAAACCAAACCTAAACAAGGCGGTTCGGAGACACGCCCGAGTCGCCCGGGAAACACTTATGCTAATCCTAATTAACGATGTCACGGATAGTTCGCTGCTAATTACCCGAGCTAATAATAGTCCCAGGTACGAAGTTCGGCCGTGAATGTCCGTCGGATATTTATTGTTAATGCAACCGGGGATTGTTGGGTCGTTGCTGTGTTCCCTCGTTCGGTTGTTTGCTGTGGGTTTCGGGTTTGAGCGAAGAGGGGGAGAGGTGAGGGGGAAGAAGAAAGGGGGAAAGGAGAGAGAAAGGGGGAGAGAGGAAGAGAAGGAAGGGGGGGAAAGGAAGGGAAAGGGAGAGAGAGAAGAAAGGAAGGGGGAAAGGGAAGGAGAAAGGGAGACGAGGTAAGAGGGGAGGACAAAGAAGTATATGATGGAGATTGTAGGTGTGGTGATGAGGATAATGTATTTATAAGAAAGGTTGTTTCTATTGACATTTAATACTTATAACGTAGGTATTTGAATGATATTTGACCCTATAATCATGTTTTGTGAAGTGTTAGGATCTTCTTCGTGAATATGTGTATTTGTGATTTAACTGCATTAGATGTATTGCACTTTTATAGCACTTGAAACCTCCCGTCTTGAGAATATTGATAAGACCCTGATAGATAACAATCACAACAGTTATGTAAGTAATGCCAACAACAGTCGAGGTAATTCAGTGTTGACAGGGCCTAATAATACCTCCATCTCTCTGCAAAAATCTGTTTATCTTTTGCTCGTGATATAGCTCCCTCCACTGCTCTCTCTCTCTCTCTCTCTCTCTCTCTCTCTCTCNCACAGGCAAATATTACGGAGCAGTGACGCAACTTTTATATATTGCACAGGCAAATATGCACAGGAATTATTCTGCTGAGT